GGGTCTGGATCTCGAAGGTCCTTAGAGGGCTTGTGTTTTATCACGTAGTCCACGGAGTGTTTGAAGCAGGACCTGCCTTATTGTCCGTGCCTCCAAGTTCCCATGTGGCTGGGAAGCTAGGCGGCAGCACAGCTGTAACAGGTGCTCAGGTGCTCCCCTGTCTGGGTGGCAAGCGTGCCCATATGTGATCCCATAGAAGGTGCCGGGCCTGAGGAAGCCAGGGGAGCAGAAGGGGAGTGGGGAGGCCAGCAGGAGTGTGGGCCTCAGTGGGGAGGGAGTGGGCGAGGCAGCATGGAGGGTAAGAAGCCCACACTAGCCACACTAGGGCCTCGGGAGATTGTGGACGCCGTCGGGAGCATTATTCCTGGAGGGGTGGGGGCAGAAGCCAGATGAGAGCTGGGAGGTGGCAGGCAGGTAAGGACGTGAGACAGAGGGGGACCGGGATTTGAGAACTGTATCATAGTTATAGGTGGGGCAGGAGTCCACATCCCAGCCAGCACCTGGAAGGTCGGGCTGGCATCTGCCCAGGGCCTGGCACGTGGTGCACACTCACCAGATGGTCACTGCCCTGAAATAACTCAGCACTGTTCTTCTCTCCCTGCCTCTGGTGTTTGCTGTCCATGTGCAGAGTGTTGGGCAAAACTGGGCCGAGGGAGCTGTCCCACTGCCTGCTGCACCCGAGCACGGCCAGACACGTGCTCTGACATGCTTCACTGTTGGCCCTGGCACCCTGCAAAGCGGCCTCCAGTGGGACCCAAGCAGGAGATGCCACCTTTTCCTTGGGCGGTTGGTTATGTAGTTGCTGGAGCATTGAGGGGATGAAAATTTTGCTTTTGGCTTTTTTTTTTTTTTTTTTTTTTTGAGACAGAGTTTCACTCTTGGTGCTCAGGCCGAAGTACAATGGCACGATCTCAGCTCACGGCAACCTCCACCTCTCAGGTTCAAGTGATTCTCCTGCCTCAGCCTCCCAAGAAGCTGGTATTACAGGTGCCCACCATCACATCCAGCTAATTTTTATATTTTTAGTAGAGACAAAGTTTCACCATGTTGGCCAGGTCTCGAACAAGGTGCCAGGCCCAGAAGGGAGAGGGTAGTGAGGGCAACTCCCCCACTCATGCCTGCCTTTTCACCCGTCTCCTATTTCACGAGCATTTACCATGCATCAGATACGTTCCTCACAGCACCTTTATGCAGCAGGGACTGCCCTTTTCATGCTGCAGGTGAACAAACGCCTAATGAAAAGGTTGTCATGTATACAAGGTTGCACAGCATGGTAGAGACACAGGAGGAACTAGAGCTCAGGAGTTCTGGCCCCAGCTCCTTCTGCCTCCCTCACATCATCAGCCCCAGACTACCTGAGGGTAGAGAGGGCAGAAAGTCAACACCCTGTACTCTGAAAACTCAGTGGTGGTTCTCACCCTGTCAGTGGGGCAGGTGGCCTCGCCCCCCACCGTGGGCCAAAAGGGTACATGGGGGACATGGCCCCACTGGCAATTCCACACACTCATGCCAACAGCTGCCAGGCACCAGCCTCACCACTGATTTTTGGACAGCTTGTCTGTGCCAAGTGCCATTCTAGATGCGGGTCCCAACTTCGGGGAGCTTGCATTCTGGAAAGGGAGACAGCTAGAAAGCCCCACCATAGGTGCTAGGTTGGGGGTCCCGGGGAAGCACCAAGAAGCTCAAATGACCTGGACCTGGGAGGGGTGGCCAGAGGCTTCTGCTGGAGGAACGTTAGGTAAGTTATTTAACCTGTCTCAACCTCAGTCTCCTCACCTGTTAAATGGGCTAGCTGCTGTCTCACAGGGCTTTGCTGAGGTTTTGATGAGGAGTGTAAGCGCTTACCTGGCCCAGAGAAATATGTACTCAGGGAACTTCGGCTGCCTATGCCATTGGTTGGCCCTCCCAGCCAGAATGCAGGCCCCGTGAGCGCACAGGCCATGCCTGCTTGTTCACCCCCATAGTCCCAGTGCCTAGGCCAGAGGCCAGCACACAGTAAGTACTCAGAAAATATTCACTGAGTAAGTTCATGAGAAAAGGCCCAGGAGGATCAGAAAGAGGCAGGACTATTCCAGTTAGGAGTAGACGCTCCTAGGCCACGCATGGTGGCTCACGCCTGTAATTCCAGCACTCTGGGAGGCTGAGGCAAGATCACCTGAGGTCAGGAGTTTGAGACCAACCTGGCCAACATGGTGACACCCCATCTCAACCAAAAAATACAAAAATTAGCTGGGAGTGGTGGCTCATGCCTGTAATCCCAACTACTCAGGAGGCTGAGGCACGAGAATTGCTTGAATCCAGGAAACAGAGGTTTCAGTGAGCTGAGATTGCACCATTGTACCCCAGCCTGGGTCGCAGAGTGAGACTCTGTCTCAAAAAAAAAAAAACTGAAAAACAAAAAGCGGTGGCATGGGGATAGACTCTCCTTTCTGTGGTTTCTCTAACCACTCACACTAGGAGGCCCTCGCACCTCCCTCTGCCCCACCTGAGCCTGGGGGCCCCACCCCAGCTGCCAGAGTGCCCGTCTGCTCACCCACATTTGGAACCCTGACCTCACTGCTTTCCCCAGAGGACAGACTTTTCTGGCTGTCCCTGAAGCCACTTTATTATATGATGGAAATGCAGCCCCCAGACCCTCCTTCCTGCCCTCCCACTCCCCTACATCAACATCCGCCCCTTCCCTTGGGGAAAAAAAAAATTCATCTTTTCCAGAAAGAGGGACAGGCAGTAGCATTGAGCAAGGTGGCCCTGGGTGCCCTGTATGAGGTCACAGTAATGTGTTTCCAAACCCCAAGCTGGAGCAGGTTGTCCCCTGTGCATGACCTTCTGGAGAAAATGGATGGACTTTCAGAAGTGGGGGCTGTGCAGGAATATGAGGTCCTGGTGCAGAATAGGGTGTGTGTGGATGCTGCCGCTGGCGGTGAGGATGAATGAAAGAAACGGTGATTCAGGCTCCATGGGCAATGCTGTATTCGCTCCAGCCATAAACAACTTTATAGCCAAGTGCGGTGGCGCACCAGTGGCACACCAGCAGTCCCAGTTACTCCAGAGGCTGAGAAAGGAGGATTGCTTGAGCCTAGGAGTTTGAGGCCAGCCTGAGCAACAGAGCAAGACCCTGTTTCTAAATAATAATACTAATAATACGTACTATTTTAGTTGAGGGTCAGTTTTTCCTTTATCCATCTGTTGTTCAGCAACTGTCTATCTCTTGCCTGGCCCAGAATTGAGAGATAATGAGAGGCCCAGACAAACTCCCTGTCCTCCCTGAAGGGATGTTCAGGGTTGAACAATTGTTGCTTTATGGCTTTATGACAAAATCCCAGGTGCTCATGATCATCTTTGTACAGTGGTGGGGCTGTAGGGAGTCCTAACGTAGCCTGGGGGAGGCTGCCTAGAAAGTGGAGACCCGCAGGCTGAGGCCACATTAAGGAATTAGGTAGAATTCATGCACTATGATTTTTTTTTTTTTTTTGAGACAGAGTTTCGCTCTTGTTGCCCAGGCTGGAGTGCAGTGGCGCAATCTTGGCTCACTGCAACCTTTGCCTCCCGGTTTAAGCGAGTCTCCTGCCTCAGCCTCCTGAGTAGCGGGCATTACAGGTCCCCACCATCACGCCCAGCTAATTTTATATTTTTAGTAAAGACAGGGTTTCTCCATGTTGGTCAGGCTGGTCTCAAACTCTCAACCCCAGGTGACCCGCCCACCTTGGCCTCCCAAAGTGCTGGGATTACAGGTGTGAACCACCACACCCAGCCAACATTATTTTTCTTTAGTTAATTTTTTACAGTTTACACATACACATGGTAAAATGTGTGTACTGATGGCACAGTGTTACATAGCAAACATAAGACTCACTCCACCTTCTCTCTCCACCTACCCGTCCCCCTTCTAGAGGCAACCATTGTTACCAGTCCTCGTGTTTTCCCGCAGCCAGAGTCCATTTGTATCCTGCATCTATATTTTTTCCGGCATTTTTTTTCCAAACGGGATCTTGCTACATTGGAGGTTCTCCACCTGGGATGATTTGGCACCCCCACCTTCCCACCCCAGGAAACACTTAACAATGCCTGGAGATATTTTGATTGTTACAGATGATCAGTGGGGGCCAGGTGCAGTAGCCCATGCCTATAATCCCAACGTTTTGGGAAACCGAGGCAGGTAGATTGCTTGAACTCAGGAGTTCAAGACCAGGCTGGGCAACATGGCGAGACCCCGTCTCTACAAAAAATTTTTAAAGTTAGCTGGGTGTGGTGGCGTGCACTTGTGGTGACTCAGGAGGCTGAGGTGAAAGAATCAATTGAGCCTGGGAGGTTGAGGCTGCAGTAAACTATGATCGTGCTACTGTGCTCCGGCCTGGGCAACACAGTGAGACCCTGTCTAAAAAACAACCCAAATTGGCAATTACTGGGTAGAGGCCAAAGATGCTGTCAAACATTCTATAATGCACAGGACAATCCCCACTTACATGGTCGAAAATGTCAACAGTGCTGAGGTTGGGAAGCCCGGTCCTGCATAAGCACAGGGTCTACAACGTGTACGTGTGTGTGTGTGTGTGTGTGTGTGTGTGTGTGTGTGTGTCTGTGTGTGTGTGTTCTCATGTATATTCTGCATCATTCACATTTGTACATCGACCTCATTATTCTTTGTAGCCACAAAAATCCATCACCTGGATGCTCCACCATTTTCATTCAGGTGTTTGCACTCTTTTTGCCATTATAAACATTTATGCTACAAGGGCTATTCTTTTCCATCCACATGCCTTTGCTGTGTGAGGTCAAGGGAGAAGCTGATGGAGTGGGATGGATGAACCTGATGATTCGTTAGCATTTTAAATGACTTGTTAAAAAGACCTTCAGTCTCTCTCGGGCACAGTCTGTCTGGAGAATGGATCTGGGGTCCTGGCTGCTAACCAGGGCCGAGATCCTCAAAAGTCTGGTGGAGAAATGTCCTCTGCATTCCTCGTGTACAGACAAGGGTGTTCTGACCACCTGTCTCTCCGCAGGACGAGGGTGTCCCCCACCTGAAGACGACAAGCCAGGTCCTGAGTGATGCCCCTGAGCTGAGTGTCCAAGGCCAGCCTGAGGCGCCCCCTGTCTTTCCCCATGGAGAAAGGACTCACTTTGCCCCAGGACTGTCGGGACTTTGTGCACAGCCTGAAGATGAGGAGCAAATATGCCCTTTTCTTGATTTTCGTGGTGATAGTTTTTGTCTTCATTGAAAAGGAAAATAAAATCATATCAAGGTGAGAGCTGCAAGCCCAAGTCTTCATCTTCCTTTCAAGGTGGGGTGGGCGCAGCAGAGAGGTAACTGCAGGGCTCTCTGTGGACCTGCAAATGCCTTCCTTCAACAAGCCATCCCCAGGCCCCTCCTGTGTCCCAGGCAGTGGGTCCTGCACACATCCTCATGACTGTACAGGGGTGAGACTTGGGCTCTGGACTCAGATAGCCTGGGTTGGAGTGCCTCATGGTGGCCCTCTAGAACTGTGAAAGATTAGGCAAGATACTTCCCATTTCTGAGTCTTTGTTTCCTCTTCTGTAAAATGTGGCTAATGATGGTACCAGCGCTGTTGTAAAGATTAATGAGAAAATGTAAAAGCATCTAGCCCAGTGTCTGGCACATAGTTGGTATCCAGTACTTGCTGGCTGTGACTATCACTATCAATGTACTTCCTGGCCTAGAGTGATGCCTTGCATTAGCAGCACATCGCCTGTAGAAGTCTTGATGTCATTGCGCCCATGGAAAGGCAAGGTCCTAGTACTTAGGTATTCTGATGGGCAGGGCTGCCATGTGCAGCTGCCAGGTTGTGTACTGCTCAACTCCAGGGGCATGCCCCTCAAATAGGCTCCTCTGGGAACGCCCCCTTACCCCTTCGAATTGGCAACATACAGCTATGTGCCCTGGGCCTGTTCTCCTCCCAGGCACAAGACCTGCCAGAAAGCATTAGCTAAGATGGGTAGATCAGGGATTGGGTTGTAGAGTAGACACTGTCAATGCCCATTTGGATCACTAGGCAAGGACTGTTTCAGTGCACACCTGTTGGGTTCTACTGCAAGCCCCTGCAGCTCTGCACCTGAGGGCTTCCTCTCTACCTGCACACTGGCAAGCTGGAAGCACCAGGGAGAAAATGTCCCCCAGGTCCCCATCAGACTGAGCATCCAATGCCCACACCTGCTCCGTGCGGCACATCTGTACATGGATGCCTTTCCTCCCCTGCCTCACTTCCCCACCTAGTTCTTCTTGCAATCATGTCCCAGATAAACGATTGAAACACAAATCCTTGCCTCAAAGTCTGCTTTTGGGGAAACCCAACTGAGACAGGCTTTGGTGATCTACTTGGAGGACTGCTTAGGGTTGCCCAGGAGGCAGGGTCCCCAGTCAGCCACTGACCCTGGTCTTCTTTTGTCCTCACAGGGTCTCAGACAGGCTGAAGCAGATCCCCCAAGCCCTGGCAGATGCCAACAGCACCGACCCAGCCCTGGTCTTGGCTGAGAACGCATCTCTCTTGTCCCTGAGCAAGCTAGATTCAGCCTTCTCCCAGCTGAAGAGCCGTCTCCACAACCTAAGCCTGCAGCTGGGCGTGGAGCCAGCAGTGGAGGCCGCTGGGGAGGAAGAGGAGGAGGGAGAAGAGGAGGAGGAGCCGCCCAGACCGGCCGCGGCGGGGCCCCGGCGCCACGTGCTGCTCATGGCCACCACGCGCACCGGCTCCTCGTTCGTGGGCGAGTTCTTCAACCAGCAGGGCAACATCTTCTACCTCTTCGAGCCGCTGTGGCACATCGAGCGCACGGTGTCCTTTGAGCCGGGGGGTGCCAACGCTGCGGGCTCGGCCCTGGTGTACCGCGACGTGCTCAAGCAGCTCTTCCTGTGCGACCTGTACGTGCTGGAGCCTTTCATCACGCCGCTGCCCGAGGACCACCTGACCCAGTTCATGTTCCGCCGCGGCTCCAGCCGCTCCCTGTGCGAGGACCCCGTCTGCACGCCCTTCGTCAAGAAGGTCTTCGAGAAGTACCACTGCAAGAACCGCCGCTGCGGCCCCCTCAACGTGACGCTGGCCGCCGAGGCCTGCCGCCGCAAGGACCACATGGCCCTCAAGGCCGTGCGCATGAGGCAGCTGGAGTTCCTGCAGCCGCTGGCCGAGGACCCCCGCCTGGACCTGCGCGTCATCCAGCTGGTGCGAGACCCCCGCGCCGTGCTGGCCTCGCGCATGGTAGCCTTCGCCGGCAAGTACAAGACCTGGAAGAAGTGGCTGGATGACGAGGGCCAGGACCAGCTGAGGGAGGAGGAGGTGCAGAGGCTGCGGGGCAACTGCGAGAGCATCCGCCTGTCCGCTGAGCTGGGGCTGCGGCAGCCCGCGTGGCTGCGGGGCCGCTACATGCTGGTGCGCTACGAGGACGTGGCGCGCAGGCCACTGCAGAAGGCCCGCGAGATGTACCGCTTCGCCGGCATCCCCCTGACCCCGCAGGTGGAGGACTGGATCCAGAAGAACACGCAGGCGGCCCACGACGGCAGCGGCATCTACTCCACGCAGAAGAACTCCTCGGAGCAGTTCGAGAAGTGGCGCTTCAGCATGCCTTTCAAGCTAGCCCAGGTGGTACAGGCCGCCTGCGGCACCGCCATGCGCCTCTTCGGCTACAAACTGGCAGAGGACGCTGCCGCCCTCACCAACCGCTCGCTCAGCCTGCTGGAGGAGCAGGGCACCTTCTGGGTCACGTAGTGGGGGCCGGGGCCCTGTGTGCCCCTCCTGGTGAAAGGCCTGCCCCGCCTTTTTGCCGCAGCCCTCGCAGACGGCGGGTGCGCAGCGTGGTGAGCGGGCAGAGTCTCCTGTAGCAGTAGGGCCCCTAGCCAGCGCTCCCACCGCAGCGGCGGCCCCAGGGTTAATCGTGGAGAACATGACAGTGCCCCAACCCCTTGAGGGCCATCACACCCAGACCCAAGGGGCTGCAGCCTCCAGAGCAGGCCCAGGCAGGCCCGGGCCTGTTGGCAAGCTTCAGTCTCACACACACAGAAACATTCGTGCCTGGAGACCCTGCAGGCCAGAGTCCAAATATTTAATAACCAGAAGGAGCAAGGCTCTGACCAGTGGCAGTCAGACCTCCTGCTTTATTTGATGTTAACCATTTCTTTTCTGGATGGTGAAGTCTGAAATCTAGGTGGATCCTTGGAGGAGGGGCCGGGACAGCCCAGGGTGTCAAAGGTGGCATTTGAGGCTCATTTGAGGTGACAGTGGCTGTTTACCAACCAGTACAGGGCGAGTCAGCATTTTCATGAATGGGGTGGCTGTGCTGGTTACTGATGAATCAGGGCCCCATATAGGGCTGCAAAGCACACACATGCGTATAGACATACACGCATGTATACCACACGCGGACAAGCATCATAAAGGCACAAGTGTACACACATCTATGCAGACAAGCTTCCTCGCTGCTTATGCTCACAGGGTTTTTCTGTATCACACACATCAGAGGAGCCTGTGATTGCATTTCTAGGATTATTTGGAAAGCAGGGCAGGGGAAGGAAACACGTTAGAGGACCATGATGTGACACGGTTCCCAGCTAAGTTTGATACTGAACGGTGGATTCAGAACTGCAGCGTTCAAAGCCCCTGCCCACCTTAGATTCTCGTGGCTACCTCCTCTGACCCATCCACATCCTCGCAGCTGGCAGGCAGGATGTTTTGAAATGGTGCAGCCAAAGGCCCCGTCCAGCTTGGCTGGCTCCCTAACGCGTCCATATTTGAAGGCTGCCTCAGGCCTGGCAGGCAGAAGCAGCTGTGGTCCCTGGAGGCAAAAGGCAGCTCACCGGGCCTTCCGTTTCCAGCCAGGCCTCACGTGGGGCAAGGCCAAGAGGAAAGTACAGAGTGCCCTTGCGGAAAAAGTCCCACTGGGATGCACCTCTTCCCTGAGAAGCCCACCTTCTCCCTCGTGGACAGAGGTCACCAGCTGGTCCCCGTGGTTACAGCCAGTGCCTGGAATTCCTCCTTAGGGCTCTGGGAAGAGTATTGCTCAATGCAGGATGTGCTGGGTGTTTCATTTGGGGTTTTTAACTTATTTATGGCTTGGTGTCTTTCCTGTTTGATGTTTGGCTTTTGTTTTGTCTCTCCCAAGCAGTGGAGGCCTGAGAGCCTGAGGGAGGCTGGGGAAAACCAGCAGGGAGCACTTGACTCCTGGCAGAGGGAGAGGACAGGAGGAGGAGCCTTCCCATGAGGAGCAAGGAGAGGTGGGCACATGGCAGGCCACAGTGCCCTACGGGCTTTTCTGTTTGAACCCCATGTGGGATGAATCTCAAAGCCAACAGTGTTCTTGCCTCATGTCCAGAAGCAGTGGAGATTCGCAGCCCTCGCCTCTCCCTGAGACGAAGCTGGATTTGAAAATCCCTCCCACACTCTAATATGTTTCCTGGGTGGGCAGGGGCTCAGGACCAAGCAGCAAGTGTACCCAGAGCAGAAGCCCGTCCCGACTCCCACCGCAAACCCAGGAGCAGAACTCAGTATCCAGAGCTTACAGGGGCTGCAAGGGTTTGCTGAAGGCTGCCCAGCTCTGTTTCTGGTTTCCTGGACAACTTCTGTGTCAGATTATGCCCGTTGTAAACCCAGAGGGCTACATTTTGGGTTGAATACGGACACTGGGGAAGCACAGGATCTGAGTCCAGCATTGCCATGGAGGAGGGAAGAGTGTGTCCTGGCAGGAAGCCACCATCTGAGAAGGCAAGGCTGGTATCCGTCCCATGGGATTCACTATAATCAGCCCGTTAGAGCTGCTGGGTCTCTGTCACTGTAGACTCCAGTCATTTAAGGAGGTCTCCACTCTAGGGTTTTTTTTTTTCTTTTGCTATTTTGCCTGAACATCCCAATCCTCTTGGTTTTAGAATCCAAGAGTAAGCTGTGCAGAGATATGGTTCTAATTTAGACTTCAAAGGAACACCAGCTCTGAAAACGTGACCGTGGGGCCAGGATGTTTCTGGCAGGCCCAGAAGTGCTGGCCGTTCTTCCCCAGCCTCCCGCCTGCTCCCTCCTCTGTTCCCCACGTGGAGGAGGGGGGTGCTGGGACTGGGGAGGGGCAGCCACCTCCATCTGAGGCTCTTCCTTAGGGCCCTGCTAGTGTGGACGGCAGACTTTATCCCTCCTTCTTACTCTGGGCCAAAGCCTCCCATGCTGCTCTCTGAGGATGGTACCAAGAATGGGCCTTTGGGACTTCTCAGGACGTTGACACGTGCACACTGCAAGTTGACTTTATTTATTTATTTTGTGAAAAGAAGAGACAGAAGATACCTTTTTATCTGCAGGGACTCAAAGCTGTACCCAAATCAAGAAAGACAAAATAATAATAGAAACCATTCACACACTCCGTTCACGCAAGGACACCAGAAGACGATTCAGAACACAAGAGAATAAGCCCGAGCTGCAGCACCACAATGGCCCCTGGACATTGTTTAAGATCTGAGATCATGGCCCGACGCCGTGGTTCACGGTGGCGGATTGCCTGAGCTCAGGAGTTTGAGACCAGCCTGGGTAACACAGTGAATCCCCATCTCTACTAAAATACAAAAAAAAAATTAGCCAGGTATGGCAGCGTGCGCCTGTAGTCCCAGCTACTCAGGAGGCTGAGGCAGGAGGATCACTTGAACCCCAGAGATGGAGGTTGCAGTGAGCTGAGGTCGCACCACTGCACTTCAGCCTGGGCAACAGAGCAAGACTCCATCTCAAAAAAAAAAAAAAAAAAAAAGATCTGAGATCCCTTGGTTTCTCTCATGTTGATCTGAGATGCCACATCAGGGCCCTTTCTGCTGTATTATCTCTGCCTGGGTGTTTAAGTCACAACTTAAGTGTGTGGGTGTTTCCTAGAAACGTATCCCTTGGGGCTCAGTGATACTCTGGGAACCCGTGGGGTTTGAGGAAGGACTGTGGTGTGACTATTGTCTTGACACGCTGTGGTTGTGGTTGGAGTCATCCACGTGGACACGGTTTTCAGCTTGGAGCTGGGATGGAGAAGGTGGAACTGCTGGGGGCCGGGCCTCCTTTTTCAATGAGGCCAGTCCTGGTTTCTCCTCTGTTCCAGCTGCTCTGCCAGAAGCCCTCCCCTGCGAAGTGCCCACCTGCCTGGAGACAGAGGGAGCAACTGAGGCCTCTCTCCACCAGCCGGCAGCCTCCCCAGCACAGAGGACCATTCAGCAATGAGTGTTACTTATGTTCTTTCTTGTTGATGAGTTCTGCAGCCCAGCCTATAGCAATGGCTCAGAATCTTCCAGGTCTTGGTGAGATAGGGCAGTGTCCAATGCTCACAGGCTGTCCCTACTCTGCCTCTTGCCATCTTCCCCTCAGGACCTGTTCATAAATTGGGGAACGGACGAGGGCCCTGGAGGGTCCTTGGGAGTAGTTAGTGGAGGGCAGGATTCCCAGGTCCCCATAGAGAGGGCAAGAGAAGCCCAGATGTGCACAGAAGCCCATCTCTGTCACACACACCCCAGTTGGTCACCGAGTTATTTTCCAAAAGCTGAGGAACATAAATCAAATTTAGGCTTTTGTCCCTCTTCAATACGTGCACTTGAAAATAACTAAACAAGCAAAAAAGAGATGGTAAATGACAAGTTTGCTTCCTGTCGGCTAGCACCCTCAGCGTGGGAGCTGCTGCCGGAGGCTGGCATAGCAGGGCAGCTGCTGACCAAACCCCACAGAACAGAGGGCACCAGGCATCACATGACATCTATCTCTGCCATCTGTCTGGCAATGGAAGGAGCTCCAGCAGGAGGTCCTTCCCAATAGATTGATTCTTGGCCTGGGTGGTAGAGGAGATAGAAGCATCTAATGGTCTGATCCTGACGCTAAAGTCCTGTAGCCCTGAGTCATCCTCTCCTATACTAGGGCCTATTTTAATTGACCGTAGGGGCCCGGTACAGTGGTTCACACCTGTAATGCCAGCATTTGGGGAGGCCAAGGTGGGAGGATTGCTTGAGCCCAGGAGTTGGAGACCAGCCTGGGTAACATGGGGAGACCAATTAACTGTAGGGCTTGTTCCTTGCTAGGACAGGAGCCGAAGACTGGGTGGCTGTGTCCTCAAGGCAATCCCCTCCAACCCCCATTCCCAAAGTCTGAAAACAAAACCAGATCTCAAAGGGCTGATTCCTGAGGCAAGGAGAGAGAATGGGGGCGAGGTGGGGGCAAATGCCTGCACAGGCCAACTGGGTCTTACTGATCTGTACAAGCTGATAGAAGGTCCACCTGCTGGAATCCAGGGCTCCTGAGTTATTGGGTTTGCCTGTGAAGCTTCTAGGACAAGGCGCAGCCAGATGGAAGGCAGGGTCTGGGGCTTCCTGAATGCAGCCACATCACCTCTCAACTCGCTGCAGTTTCGGAGATTGTGGAAGTTACTCTGTACCTCAAAAGTGCAAAAGCAGAATTGGCAACTTCACATGTCTCAAGAGCTTCAAGATCCTTTGGTCTTGTGTCCTTTGGCATCCCATAGCTGTATGGGGGACAAATTTGTACATGTTTCCAAGGCCACAGACATGGTGCTCTCCTCATGGGCCTAGCTCAGGTACCTAGATCAGGTACTTCTCTGGCGAAATGAAATGACCCACATGATCTGCTTCCTCTACCATTGGCTTGAACTGGGCACCCCCTGAAGTCTCCATCTCAGCTGTATTTTCTGGTCCACATTTGCCTGGCTCCCCCTGCGTCTGCCTGGGTCCTGCACACTGTCCTTTTGCCAACACCTCCTCCCTGTGTCCTGTTTCATGTCTGCGTGGTATGACACCCCTTCATGGCATACATAGCCACAGTATGTACATATGTGCCCGTGTGTGTGCGTGTGTGTGTGCGTGTGTGTGTGTGTGTATAGCATGTAGCCCATTCTGCTCGGCCTCTGGCACTGCTCCACATTACTCCCAGCCCCACTGCTGTCACTGTTGTCCCAGATGTCCTTGCCGTGGCCACAGACAATCTGCCATCTCCTGGAAGTGCTGGGGCTGCCCTTCAGAGCTGGCAGTCGCCAGCAGTCAGGGACTGCTTTGCAGAATAGAATGTGAACCCCTCTCCTGATGGCCTACTTGACTTATTTAATTAAAAATGAAAACATGCAACAAGCAAGACCTGCAGCGTGTCTCTGCCTTTTCCTTTGCATTTGTTCTCAGCAGCAATTGGGTCATATATATATATATATATATTTTTTTTTAATTAACAGTGATAGAAGGGAGGTGACTTCCAGCATGAAGCAGGACAGGGAATTCCCCTGCTCATTCCCAAGGGACCCAAGGCACTAGGGCACTGTGGGACAGGGTGACCGTTCCTTACGTTACCAGGCTGGCAGAGCTGGTGGGGACGGCGCTGGGCGGAGAGAGAGAAAACTCAGGTATTTGGGGGCAGACACAGGAGCAATGCGCCAGCAGTCCGGGAGCCTGGGCACAAGTCCCAGCTTTGCCACTGTCTGGCTGTGTGACCTTAGATAAGTCACTTCCCTTACTTGGACACCAGTTTCCTTTTAAAATGAAGGTATAATCAGTTGTTCACAACCATGGTTCCCAGAAAGCCCCGTTAGGGATTCAAAAGTCAGCTGAAAAGGCAGGCGGCACCCTCTTAAGGAGAGCCACTGTGTGTTTTGATATGCTCTCTGTGTAGTGTTTTGATCTGCTTCGGGTAGCATTTTAGATTTATTTGGCCTTCAACTAAATCTCCAAAAGCACATGAGAAGATTGCCAAGGACCCTTTTAGCTAAGAAATTGAAGGGAATCCCAGAGATACTTAAAAAAAAGAAGAAAACAAAATAAATAAATAAAAAAGAAATGGAAGGGAGTCCTTTCAAATTGCAGCTACATCTGTCATAACAACTTCAGTCCTTGTTAGATTTCAGCCCTGCTATCTCCCAAGAGCTGCCTATAGGGCATGGCATTTCCCCGGAGAGAAAGGAGAGAGGGGCGTGGTGGGAGCAAACGCCTGCACAGGCCAAGTGGGTCTTACTGATCTGTACAAGCTGATAGAAGTACCACCTGCTGGAATCCAGGGATCCTGAGTTACTGGGTTTGCTTGTGAAGCTTCTACGACAAGAAGCAGCCAGATGGAAGGGAGGGTTTTTGAACACAGAAGCCAGAGCTGGTTGGCCTTTGTAGGTCTCGGGACATGGCGGGAGCAGGACCAGCAGCTGCAGGAAGAGGCAGAGGAGGGCTGAGCACAGCGACAGTGGCTCCTGGAGTGAGGGAGTGAAGACTCAGAGAGGCTCAGTGTGAGGAAACAGGCCCCCTCCCCAGATCTCAAACCTGTGTCTCTGCCACTTCACCCAGTCCAGGTCTGGGAAGCTCAAGCCATCTCCCTCCTGCCCCTGAAAGTATTTGAGCCAGTGCCTGTCATCCCAACCTGAACAGAAACTGCCACTCCACAGTCAGGTGCTATTGCTGTCTCCCTGAACTGGGGGCTGGATATAGTTAATTTCTAGGCTGTGTTTCCTACCACAAATGACCCCCTGGGGAAACAAATTGCACTAATCACAGAGCGGAGAAGCCTGGACGCCTCCCCACCCACCCCTGCCTCAGCCACCAGGTCGGAACCGTCTCTCTTCCTCCTCCTTCCCCCCACCCCCAGACTCCTTTGAGATCCTCAGTCCTCCTTCCTACACCCCACTTTACCCAACCCTGGGGAGGAGCCAAGTGCCCCGTGGCTCTCTAGGACAGGGAGAGTCAGCTCGGACTCTCTGGAAAGCAGTTTGGTCAGCAGGGGGCTGGGGTCAGGGACCTGTGCCACTGCCCACCGAGCCCTGCTGGGCCCAGCCCTGGAGCCTGCAGCAGCGTCCCCAAGTGTGTGTGGAGGAACTGTGGTCACAGGGTTGCTTTTGGGAGGGTACAGTGCACATTTGATTACAGGCTCTGGTAGGCTGCTTTCCTTTGACTCACAGCCTAGAGAGAACCATTTTTACGGAATTCCTTTATCATGAAAACCTTTTTTTTCCCCCTAAACAACAGCATTTTCAAGACTCTGGCCTCCTTTATTTTTTAAGGCTTTGTCACCCAGTTAGGAGTGCAGTGATGCAATCACAGCTCACTGCTGCAGCTGGGACCACCCAGGCCCAAGCAATCCTCCTGCCTCAGCCTCCCAAGTAGCTGTGACTACAGGCATGTGCCGCACTTGCTAGCTTTTTTTTGTATTTTTTTTAGAGATGGGGCCTCACCGTGTTGCCCAGGCTGGTCTAGAACTTCTGAGCTCAAGCGATCTGCCAGCCTCAGCCTCCCAAAGTGCTGGGATGATAGGTGTGAGCCACTACACCCAGCCAAGTCTCCGTCATTCTACAGAAGAGTTAGTAGCTACCAGCAGCCTGCAGCTGGAAATCTGTAGGACCAAAAGCCACCCTAAGCAGACAAGAAGGTGGTGGGTGAGTCGGCTGGGAGAAAAAGCCCAGGGTTGGGTTTAAGGCTCATCCCCCTTCACACCATCCTCACTGAGCTGCCAGGGTAGGAGGAGCCCTCAGAGACTGCAGCAGCCTTTCGGGCACTGTGGGCCAGGGTTCAAGGCCCTGAGACATCCATGCTGCTGTC